ATATATGCTACTCTGAAAAATAACCCTTTAGACGTATAAAAATCAATTGCTGCCCATTAGTCTCGCAAAAACTCGAAACCGGCTGGGCCGATTAAAATTAAAACTTTTGTGTGTTTGAGTGGGTCCCGGGACGATTTAAACGATTCACAATTGAACCCGGTAGGTGGCGCTGTTATCGAGATCCAGAAATCACTCGTCAGGCGGGGCTGATCGAAAGTATATAATAATATCGACCCGCGCCTTTGCACTGGTAGCACTAATCAGCCGAACGATATTTGGTGACCGACAGCGCGGCGTAGTGATAGGTTTACGTACCGGCTTTCTGCGGATATAAGTGCAAGTCTTCGAACTTCTTGCTACGTGCGTTTTTGAAGCTTTGTTTTGTGTTATTACGAGTTAATATTAATACAGTTTTATATACCACGTTATTACAAACAGTATTTTCTGTATCGGTTAAAAACCTGTTCTTAAACCATAGTTCAAACTCGAGACCTCAATAAAGCAAGTTTTATAATGAGAACGGATAGTTTCGAGAATTTCTCTTTAGAAAAATTTAAGAATAATAATCCTCCATTTTTGTAAATATAATTTTATTGATTTACGTTAGCGCACGCGATGAAAACTCTTAGGAGGCACGATTTTTTCTACTTAATCGACATCATAACATTAGCTAATTTGCATAAAATTCTCACAAATTATATATACCTAAACCTACCTCGTGAATCAGTCTGTCTATTTATTCAATCCGAATAAAAATCCCACAATAGTTTTTGAAAGCTCGGAAAACTGCCTTTTATTGAGCTGCTTTAGCTTTTTATTGGCGGTTATTTGCATGCAATGAAGACATAAATAACCATTAAAATGTCTGTCTGTCTGTCTGCCCGTCCGGGTTAATCTTAAGGATCATCAGAGTGATATAGGCTATATATTATCCGAAAAACTAAAAATTCATAAAATAAATGGGTCTTTGTTTACCTTAAATCTAAATAACGCCATAGATATCCGGTCAAAGCCGGGGCGGGACGCTAGTTATAAATTAAACAATTGATCGCAATGATTATTCACGTCAGCTATACGAAGTTTTTATTATTATATAAACAGATCCTTTATATCAGTTGATACAAATATTATATTTCGTGATAAAATAGATTACCAGTCAAAGCCGGGGCGGGTCGCTAGCTATAAATTAAACAATGGATTGCAATCATTATTCACGTCAGCTATTCGAAGAATTTATTATTATATAAACAGTAACATCTTTTATATGAGTTGATACAAATATTATATTCCGTGAAAGAAAAAAACACTTTCAAGAGCATTTCTGAAATTACAATAAAATTCGGCTTAGAGGCAAGGGTATATTCTGCAGAACTATTGGTATTTTTTGTTTCAATACAGATAGGGAAGAAAAATCCAATTGGCAGTCTCATACGACCTGTCACTAATAGACGACTTCACGAGTGGGTGGGAGTGGGTTCAGATGGCCCCGTACTAAATTCTGTGCAAGTTTACGACTTTGAGGGTAGGTTGGACAAAGTATGGTCTGCATGATGATGAGATGAACCTAGATTTATATTTAGGTTTAGCTTGCTTTGTAGATAATTACGCGATAATTCGCTTAAATTAGATACCTTTTAACAAAAAAAAAATAAACGGTATATCTATCAATAGTAACCGCTCTTTACTACAACGAAATGTTACAATATGAAATGAAATTGAATGTTTCTTTTTATGGAATAACGGTGACAAACGAGCACACAACCCACCTGATGGTAGGCGGATGCAGTGGCCCATAGACATCTACATTTATCCTCGATTAAGAATTAAAATGCAGATACACTGCCACCCCTGAGGACTATAATTCAATACCTTGTTTCCGTAAATCTGGGTCTCCGGTTATCTACACTCACGATACGAAACACGGCAGCATTAAGCTGCTATTTTATGTCGATATTCTGCGGGAGCGTGGTCCTACCCCGGTTGAGGCGACCCATTGGTGCTACAACCATAATATATCTGCAGCGTGGCTTATAAATCTTTATATATAAAAGTTACGTGTCACGTTGTTTGTCCGCGATGGACTTCTAAACTATTGAACTGATTTCAATGAAATTTTGTACACTGTGTGCAGTTTGGTCCAACTTGAGATAGGATACTTTTTATCCCGATAAATGACCTTCAATATTTTTTCATTGCGAATTTAAGGATTTTTTCATAGGAAGGGTCGTCGGAAAGGGCAGAACAACGTCTGCCTGGCGAGCTAGTATCTTATAAAAATTTCTTTATTTCTTCGACTTATGAAGATTCTTTTATACGTGGTAGAGCCATGCTGCAGCTATTAGTAGTATAGTTGTATCACGAATGGGTCGGCTCGATCGGGGAAGGACCATGCTCTCACAGAATACGATCCTAAAATAGCAGCTTAACGCTGTTGTGTCGTATGGTGAGTGTAGAGAACCAGAGACTCTTTTTACTGGTAACGAGGCATTCCATCTTAGTCCTCACGGGTGACAACGCATCTGCATTTTGATTCGTAATCGAAGATATATGTAGGTGTCTATGGGCCACAGTAACCACTTACCATCAGGTGGACTGTGTACTCGCTTGTCACCCTTATCCTATAAAAAAAAGATAAAATTTACTATTTTTATTTAAATTTAGATAAAAGTTTGTCAAATGTGATTTTTTTTCAAATCTCTTACTGTGTCGAAATGAGATTCCTCTTACTCGAGAACTTTTTTCTACTTTACTAACTACTTTTTTGTATTTTTTGAAGTCAACATTATATAATATCTTACTATATACAGAATGGGAAACAATAAGGGACCCATCGGTATTGGAAACATTTTTAACATACTTAACAATTTGGAGCTTATGTTGGTGCATGGCGAACCTGAGCAGACCAGGCCCCACTAGCACTATCTTTTCATAACTATGACGCATATGGAACCCGTCACAGGACGCCGTAACAGGCAGAGACACACTGAAATCGCTTATACTTTATAGCGTATTCGCCTATATGTCGGGCAGGTGCATTTTGCATATTGAAAAGTTTGACGATTTTCATAACACACCATTTGTCATGGATCACGTCGTTAGGACTTGACCAAATTAAAATGGGTCCATCCCTGAGGTAAATTTATACAAGTGGTAAAATTAAAAGTTTTATACAACCGACTTCAATATAAATTATTAAGAATAACTTAAAAACTATTAGTTAGATATCTATCAAATTTATATGGGACCACATGAGAAGCACCAGCTTTCAAATAAAATAAGGATCATCGAAATCGGTTCACCCAGAAAAAAGTTATGCGGTAACACACATAAAAAAACATACAGTCGACTTGAGTACCTCATCCTTTTTAAAGTCGATAGATAAAATAATTTAAAATTAAAAATTTTGTACAGCTGACTTCAATATAAGTTATTAAGGATAAATCAAAAACTATTAGTCTGACCTTAGTCACATTTTTATGGGACCACACGAGAAGCACCAGCTTTCAAATAAAAAAAATCTTCATAATCGGTTCACCTAGACAAAAGTTATAAGGTAACACACATTAAAAAAACATACAGTCGAAATGAGTACCTCCTCCTTTTTGACGTGGGCAGAGTGAGAGAGATGTAGTCGAAGTTAAATACGCCTTATTAAGGATAACTCAAAAACTACTGGTCTGATCTTGATAAAATTTATATGGAACCACATGAGAAGCACCAGCGTTCAAATTAAAAAAAATCATCGAAATCGGTTCACCCAGAAAATAGTTATGCGGTAACATACATAAAACACATACAGTCGAATTGAGTTCCTCCTCCTTTTTTAAAACGATTGAAAATTCATGAACTGAATTGACATTTTAAAAGAAATTTGCTTCAATAAATAACAATAGGCGGCTAAGTTTCACATTTACAATGCTCAATATCTTTTTGAAATTTAAACTAATTTTGTTCAAGTCTTCAAGTTAATCTCTTTTAGATTCTTATATTTTGCTTACGCTCTATGTGTAAGGTCTGCTGACTGAGTAGAATTGAGTAATTCCAACTTAACAATATTTTCGCACTATATAAATTTATTTCTCTGGTCTCTGGAGGATTACAACTGACGTTTCCATGTGTGTAATACGGGACTTATTGCATATTGACTAAAGACGGGCGAGTATTATTTAAAACCTTGTGATGATAGTATATAGAATAGAATGATTTTTTATTCAATATTGATTATTACATACTTATTGAAAGTCATTTTTTATTTACCACTGGTTCGGAAAATACCTCTGTCCTGAGAAGAACCAGTAAGAAACCCAGCGGGACTTTTTTTAAACATATTTCGCTTAACAATAACAAAAATTTAAAATAAATTTTCATAGAACCAGCATGGTGGCGATCACGTTATTCCCAGAGGTTATTTTCATTCATGTATTCCTTGATATTATAATAATATACTAATGACGAACCACGGATGTTGCTACCGCGATTGAAATTGATTTAGTGTATTTTGTGATGTATTGTGAGTACAATGAATTACATTTGTCATAATTAGTTTTGTGAAAACGGAATTGAATAAATTTTACTTCATTTATGTCGAATTTTCATTTCACAATGGAACATAGTGTGCGGATAAACCACAGTCTGGAAATTTAATAATTTTAATGAAGCACACAATTATTCTGTTTTCACTTGATTGTTTCGTAAATACGTGCAACAAATGCTTATGCTCATTTAATTTTACAAATCATTATAACTTGCGGGATGTTTTACATTTATTATTAAATTATGCTCCATGTTTTGGCGAATATTACTTATAATAAGTACAATTTACATGTTAATGATTACAATACTATACTATATATATTGAATTTTCTAAGCACATCTTTAGAGAAAGCTATGTTCGTAAGGGGGACACCCCTTTGAACCTTATGGTCGACATTATACATATCGCCTATTTAGAGTAAGGTGATAGAGGAAGATTAAACATTTTGATAAAGTTCATTTTGCAGCAACTTAGAGGGCAGTCCAGATGGCCTGGAGCTTGGTACAGAAGTCGAGTACTCACTGGGGCGTGTGAACGGTTCAGGAGGAGGTTGCGCTAGCGCGGAATTTGTACGCGTTTTGCCAAAGGGCACTATACCCGTGGCTAAACCTCTCGAGCCACCACTCAATGGCACTGTGACTAGGACCCTCCGAGCACTGAACCCAGACCAGGCTCAATATTCTGGTTAGTTGACATATATTTACTATTTTAGCTGTATTTATTATTCGGCCAACTGTGAAGATGAAAACCTATCTCACTCGATGGTAGTGATTCTTTTCCACCGCGTCTATCCGGGTAGTTAAGATCCACTGACCTATTTCACCTGCTAAGCAACAGCGCGTCTATTGCTATGTTCCCATTTCAAAGCTAAAAGAGACTATGCAATATGTAACAAAAACCCTGTGGTTCCCGTAAAGTACGTTATCAGGATCATTATTCAAACCTATAGAAATAACCTTTTTTTTAAAAGCTTGAACAATATTTTCTTTTTATTTTACTTAAAAAAAAATTGGATGCAAATTGTATGTGGTTTTATTACTTTTGCACTGTCTGGGGAGTAAGAGGATCAAAGACCCCGCTTTACTTAGCTTTAACGCATCGGCTAGTGTCAGTAAGAGGTAATAAAAACACTTAAAATTTTAAAAAAATTATTAAAATTAAAAAAAAAATATATGATTGAGTTTAAAGAAAAGTTATTTCTATAGGTTTGAATACTGATCCTGATAACGTACTTAACGGGAACCACAGCGTTTTTGTTACATGTTGTATATTATATACGATGCTATATCAAAAAATACACTTGCTCCTGTAGCTTCGTAGCGTCAGGTGGACTGTTAGTGAGGTAAATAACAACACCGAGTATCCGTTACAATGTTTATTCAATAACTGCAAACAGTGTAGAATAACCGACTGCATTTCGATGAAATCTATCTACCTTTATCTATATTACAGTTAATTGTATAGTAAGAGTAGAAGTCTTTTTTGGTGTTGATATTTTATTGCACAGGATTACATTAACATTATATATAATAAGTATATTAATGTAATATAATGTAACATAAGACGGCTCCGTGGCGCAGTAGCTTAGCAATGAGTTGTTACGCTGGAGCCGCGGATTCGAATCCCGCACGGACTAAGTATTTGTATGGATTACAAATAATTGTTCCGGGTCTGGATGTTTGTCCTCGTGCAATTTATGTTTGTAAACTGCCTTCACGACACAGGAGAAAATCCTAGTGTGGGGGTAATGTTTAAAAAAAGAAGAAAAAAAAGAATATAACGTAATGTAATGTAATGCCCTGTAAGCATATTTTTTGCTATGCTATTTTGTATCCTGAATAATTACTAGGAGAAACTCATTTTAGGACTTGGTAATAATAATTTCCTTCAGACCGAATTTCGATCACGACGGCCAGTCTCAACGGAGACCGGGCATCTGCGCACTACAAGATTATAGGACACTGCTTGTGCACACATTCACACTAGCACTCTCTATTCCCTCACTTTCATAGTCCGACGGGATGGCTATCCAGGCACAGGACCGACGTATTTACGTACTCACCGAGGCACGGGAGGTGAAACGCCGTCTGAGTCTGGACTACTACTGACATTTTATTGAAAGTAAAACCAATAACTTATTTTTGAGTATACCATACTCCGCAAGGTTATGGAGCGTATATTGAACGCCCGCTTAATGACATACCTAGAACAGAATGACCTCCTTAGTGACCGGCAATTGGGTTTCGCCGAAATCGGTCAGCTGGGAACCTTTTAGCGTATGCCACACACGTATGGGGCGAGGCACTCGAACATAGTGGGGAAGCAGTTGCTGTTTCCCTTGATATCTCGAAGGCCTTTGACAGAGTTTGGCACACTAACCTTTTGGGTAAGCTTCCGGCGTACGGCTGGTCCTTACTGGTCTGAGTGAACGGTCTCTCCGGGTCGTCGTCGATGGCTGCTCATCCAATCCTATGGCGACCAACGCCGGTGTTCCGCAGGGGTCCGTTCTCTCGGCAACTCTCTTCCTGCTGCATATTAATGATCTGCTTATGCCCGGTATCTATGGGTATGCAGACGATAGCACAGTTGTGGAGAGATACCAATCAAGTTCTCGGGCCAGTCAGGATCAAATCCAGTCCGAAAGAGAAGCTATGGTAGGACGTGTGAATCTCACACTATAGGCAGTCTCCGAATGGGGCGATGCCAATCTTGTGAAATTCAACGCCTCCAAAACACAAGCGTGTCTCTTCACTGCAAAAAGGAGCCAGCTCACCTTGCGAAATGTATCACTGGAATATACCGACCGCCTTCAGTTGTTAGGGTTTGAGATATCCTCAAATCTGAACTTCGGGCGGTTCATTGAGTCCAAGGCCAAAGCAGCTACAAGGAAGCTGGGAGTCCTTGAAAAGGTACGGCGATACCTCACGCCGGGACAGCTGCTTACTTTATATAAAGCGCAAGTCCGGTCGTGCATGGGGTATTGCTGCCATATATGTCACCTAGCAGCTTTGGACTCAATGGAAAGGCGTGCTAAGAGGCTTATTGGTGACCCGAATTCGGTTAAAACCAATCTTACCAGCCTCGAACCCAGACGCAAAGTCGCCAGCCAGTTCTACGGATGCATTTCGGAGTGTTCGCAGGAATTGCATAATTTAATTCCTCCCTCTCCCTTCCACCATCGAACAACCAGACGTTCGGGCAGTCTCCACCCTTTCGTTGTTGACTTACCACGCATTCGAACCAAACAGTTCGCTACGTCGTTCATCATGCTTATAGCAAAGGAGTAGAATAAGTTGCCAGCATCTGTCTTTTTATCCGATTACAGCGTGGGTGACTTCAAGGCAAGAGTGAATAAGCTTTTGTTAAGTCAGTGCGATTCACCATCTTAGGCTACACCACCACTTACCATCAGGTGGGATCGTAGATAAGCGCTGGCTTAGTAGAGTATAAAAAAAACCCAAGATTTGAACTCGGGACCACATGATTGGCAGTCGCGCATACGACTACTAGACCAAAGGGGTTGTCTTAATTTTATAGTAAAACAAAAGCAGTCCTAATGCCTCTTTGCTCTAATGGTTAGTCCGCCGCGCTGCTAGTCCTTGAAATATTTTATGGATCAGACATCCAGAACTCCTTTACGAAGTTTTATTTCACCGCCAAGCATGTGATAAATTAGTATCTGAAATTGCAATCATCAATTTCATTGGTTCCAGCGGAGATTGAACGCTGGTTGCACGCACGCTTTGAAATTTACGACAAGCATTGAAATCTAAGTTACCAGGACTATTTTGTAGTTGTATTGTTTTTGATTGTTAACTTATCCCCATCAACGAAACATTAATAATACCACTTTTAGTATTAAATTTGTTGTCAAAATAGATGAAATGAAATGTGTTCATGATGATAATTGCAGGTATGATTCAAATAGAAGGCGGAACCACATATGAGTTTGGCATTATGGGATTGGCTAGCAAGCGTGAAATTTTACAAGTGAGCGACCCGGTCACTTTCCAAGTGGATGTTGAAGGTAGGGCCACTAACATTGTGCCCATAAGGAAGAAACGACGCGCCACTGTGGATGCCATCAAAGGTATAAAAAGATTGCTGTATTTCAAGCATTGTAATAACGTAAATAAATTGTTCTGGGTTTTTTCTACAATTAATATAAAAAACCCCCAGACTAGAAGTGTGGGGAGTAACGTAAACAAAATAAATATTTTTCTTTATTTTGTTTACGTTATTCCCCACACTTCTATTATATATATATATATAAAACTAGCTCATTTTACATTCTAGAATTTGAAAAAACATTAAAATAAGAAATAATTTGGAATATCGATTATATTAATACAATCGATTTTTAATTTATTCGGATAAAAAATAAATATAAACTAAAAAAGCTACTAAGATTTAATTTAAAACAAATATATTACAAACATTTACTAACATTAAATCGATTAACATATAGAATCGATAAACTAGTGTAATTCTCGTTTTGAAGCGATACATAGACTAACGTCTTCTAAATAGTTCGTAATACTTCTCGTTTTGACACTTGACAGTACAAACTGCAAAATTATTACTCACTTGTTGTTTCGACTCATTCCGTTTTCTTGTTATCCACGGCTTTCTTTCGCGATTCTACTTACTGATCCTGCTTTTTATTGACCCTTGCTTCGTTATTGGACACCGATTAATCTTACTTATACGACTACCCCCTATAGTACCACCGATTAATCTACACCTACGCCTCAAACTATGCTAGAAGCTATGCCTGAACCTGTGCTTCAATCTCTGCCACAATCTAAATCGACTATTGTGTTACCAGACTACAAGAGGGCTATTGAAACAGAAAAGAGGTGTTTTATAGAAGGATGTCACAGAACAGAAAGGCATAGAGTTCCTCTTTCCACAAAAAAGATGTTACTCAATCGCTATAATTATTATGTACCTGAAAACAATCGGCTTTGCGATCGGCATTTAGTAATTGAATCGTGGGATTTCCTTGAAAGTTTAAGAAATAATTACCAGCAAACTTTTACTGCAATTCATATTCAGGATATGCTGTCCTTAAAATTCTTCCTCATTATGCCTTAATTTTGGGTTGGGTTGAATGAAGTACAGTTTAATCAAATATTTAATGAGGTTCCTCCGTTAACGGAAGTACCTAGAGGGTCTGTTGCTTTGGCTGCTTACTTAATTAAACTAAGGACAGGTGACTAACGATATATTGTCATCATTATTAAAAGTGTCCAGACGAACTCTGGAAAAATGGTTGAAAAAAATCCACCATCTGCTTACAGAGTATTTTGTGCCTAAGCACTTAGGTCTAAACCATATAATTAGGCAAGAAATTAAAGAAAGAAATCTTTCAATACCGAATGCTTTGTTTGGTGATTTTGAAGGTGAAAATAGGCCTATTGTAATATTTGATTTTTGAAAAAAGTTCTAATTATCTCTACCAAAAAAGGACATAATATAGATTACATAAATATAGAAACTTAGTTAAACCATTTATAATTGTGTGCACTGATGGATATATCATAGACGTTTTAGGCCCCTATCCAGCCACAACTTCAGATGTAGATATCATAAGAAAAGAATTTTCAGATGGAAGCCCACTTAGAGAATATTTTATGCAAGGTGATGCTTTCATACTGGATAGGGGCTTTCGTGATTCATTACCTATATTAAACCAATGTGGGTACAGAATTTACGTGCCTGCTTCCTTAAGGGAGGGTGAAACACAACTATCAACCAGTGAAGCTAATAATTCCAGAGCAGTCACCATATGCCGTTGGGTTATGGAGGTGGTCAATGGAAGATTCAAACGTGATTTTAAATTGTTAAGACAAAATTATTCTAATATAACGACAAAAAATTTATGTTAGATTTTGAAGTGGCTGCCCTTTTAAATGCTTTTCACCCTCCCATAGTAGACCGTGTTGATGCTGGGGAAATAATTTAACAAATAAATATGTTTATGAATACCGAAAATGAACTAGCCCATTATATTATAAGAAATAATTACAATAAGCGCAGGGCTGATTTCCAAACAATAAGTATCCAAAATGACAATTTGAACGATTTTCGCCAGCTTACTTATAGTGAACTTATATTAATTTCGTTAGGTACATACCAATTGAAGCAGGCACGTTCTTACTATGGTGAACACATAAGAGCAAATGATGTTTATATAATTGAAGTGTGCAGGGAGGCTAGCAGCAGTCTATTGCGAGAGCTGTCTGTTTCAAATACCTCATGGCTGCTTAGAGGAAGAATAAATTCAAGGCACATTAGCCGCAAAATATACTTTGTATACATATTGGTTGACAGCTCTCGCAGCGGCCGAGAATCTATTCTTCAATATTATTGTAATTGTATTGTAAGGAAACGCACAGTAGGCTGCTGCGCCCATATAATGTCAATTATATGGTACCTTAGTTGGGCAAGGTATCAGGACAATGTAGTGCCACCTGTACAGTTCCTTGATAATATTTTAATAATTATTGAAGACGATTAAACTACCTAAAAATAAGTTTTTTTTAAATAACCACCTAACCACCACCCTATTCCTGTCTGGCTGAATTAGGTAGATATAGAGAATTAGGTAAGTAGGTAGATATGTAATTGAGACATTTTAATGTGTGCTTAAAAAAGCCTATCAAAGTCAAAAGTGTCTGTTTCGATTTCTGGTTATCCTTTTTTCGTATAAAAATTATATTTGTGAGAATAAACAAATTGCCTGAGTGTTCTCGAAATGTAGCCAGTTTGGTTGAATATTTATTTACCACTTGAATTACAAGAAAGCTTGGAACAGTTTATAATATAAAAGCTGATGTTATTTCAGCAAAACATCACAGGCGAAGTAAGTAGGCATTTACTTCCGCTTACGCTTATAATATCAGAATTTATAAATATAATTATTCTTTAAAGCTTTTACCACCTTTAACACTTGAAAAATATTTATTTACTAGTTAAATAACTATATTATCTATAGTTAGAAATCGACTGTTACCATGTAGGTAAAATATAACCTCACTTTCACTTAATCTTAAATAACTCAGCTCCTGGATTGACAAATCTTGCCAAATTTTCGTCTGTGTAAAAAAAGTTCTGAAGTAACATAAAAAAGAACAGTCGAATTGAGTACCTCCTCCGTTTTTTGAAGTCGGTAAAAATAGTTTTAAGTGATTTAAAACACAAGGATTTACATTACTATTCTCGCAAGATTCGAGATTTTATCGAAACATTTCCATTTCATTCAATTATTCAATGCAGCCTATCAAAAGGCCACTGCTGAACACATAGACCTCTACCATAGATTGCCTCGTATGATTGCAATAGTTGCCACGCTTTAGTTTAGTTGTTTTCCAGAAGATACTGTTTGATTTCCCCTTTTGCCTCATATGACACTTATGGGATGATATTGATATGCGGTAGTAGAAACACTTTCATTATACGGCTATACATTTAATAACTGTATATGATTGCTAGTCCTTTTTCTTTTGCAGGTGGTTTCGGATTTCTATCCATCGAAGCGGAGGAAAATCGGCGCCTGTTTTTCCACATGTCGGAGGTGCGTGGCAACCCATCCGAATTGCAGCCCGGCGACACTGTCGAGTTCGTTATGTTGACCAACCAAAGGAATGGCAAGTCCTCAGCTTGCAACGTTGTTAAAGTCAGGTAAGATACTTGAAATTAATACCTATTATTGCTTATTTCAATGAAGCTTATGTTTGACCACATCCAAAGTCTGTCTTAAACCATCGACATCCTTCTACTCAGATCTCATTGATACTGCAAAATTACAATTTTATGATATAACAAAACTTTCTTAAAATTTTTAATTTTATGAAGGCAAATAAGTAAACAAAATATTTATTGCTAATAATGCAGCATACAAGTCTTGTTTTTCGACTTATTTAGTGTTTTCAACTCGTCCAAGCCTACATTTCTCATATTACTAGACAAAATTAAAATTAAATATTAATCTCTTTGTAAATGACTACATTTACAAAGACATTAATATTGATAATTGCTTATTGATTTTCTCTATTAATCAAAAATTTACGAGGACTAAATGAATGGCAGTTAGTCCTCGTAAATTTTTGATTCTTCGTAAATTATTTCATCAAAATAGTTCGAGCTGTTTTCGAGTTTTAGCAAAGACTAACGGACAGCAATTGATTGTCATAATAAAATTTCTAGAAACAGAAATGAATCTTCAAATTATAGAGACCAATATTTCACCGTAAAACGTCGCCGAATACCGGAACAAACTTGTGTCTGAAGTCGAGTCTTTGCTGAACAAAGTCTCGGATTGGGGCGACTTAATCTAGTCCAGTTTAATCCTCAGAGGACACAAGTTTGTGCGTTTACTGCTAAAAAGAACCCCGTTGTCGTATCTCCTCAGTTTCAAGGCACTCCCCTTGTTGCCTCAGCCAGTATCGGAATCCTTGGCGTCGACATATCGAGTGACGTGCAGTTTCGTGGTCACTTGGAAGAGAAGGCTAAATTGGCCTCTAAAAAGCTTGGCGTGCTCAGCAGAGCGGGACAGTATTTCATACCGGCACACCGCCTGCAAAACTTTACAAGGCGCAGGTTCGGACTCACATGGAATACTATTCCCATCTCTGGGTAGAGGCTCCCCAGTGCCAGCTCCTTCTACTTGACCGCATCCAGCGCAGAGCGGCTCGAATCATCGACGACAGAGTCCTTTCCGATCGGCTCGATTCATTGACACAGCGAAGAGATGTTGCATCCCTTTGCATTTTCTTTCGCATTTACACATCGCGGCAGAACTCTCGATACCATCCACACCATCTGGATGATTGGCGGTCTCCACCACTGTGCGATTTCGAAGATTTTTTCTTCCTCGCCCAACTTCTTTGTGGAATCGATTACCATCAGCGATTTTTCCGGACCGATACGACTTAGGGACCTTCAAGAAAAGAGCCTACTCCTTTTTGAAAGGCCGGCAACGCATCTGTAATTCCCCTAGTTCCCCTTATGTTGCAGTTGTTCATGGGCGGCGGTAGTCACTCCTATAAAAAATGACAGAATTATTGCTGATCATTAACCCTCCTGTTAAGCGAGTGAATTAAGAAAACTTCGACCCACAACAGTATAGACCCGTGACCAGCCGTGACATTTAAAGGCTGATGAAGAAGATTTTTATATCTATGGCAATACTGACGTAAACGCCTCAAAGGAGAATGCCAGATTCACTATAGAACTTTGCCCCACCCAAAAGCGTAGTGTACACGAAAGCCGTATGCAACAATTTTTGCCGCTTTATTACTTCATGCAAATTATATAACTTGAAGTTTCTAGAATTTGCTTTTTTTTGAACTGGACTTTAATAATTACATTTACCTTATGTTTTAGAACAGCATTCCTTGCAGTTCATTGTAATAGCAGCATATGAATTGTCAGGTGCTAATGATATATATAAATAAAAATTGAAGATGTCAAAATGAACTTCCATTAGGCTTGGATAAAATAATTCTATAATGATCACTAACATTGGAAAAAGGGGTACGTTTGTGTAAGAACTAAAAGATCCTTACACAATATAAGACAAGCACGACTTGTTCTTTACCTCGTTACCATTACTTAAAAATAGCTATTGGTCGCGTGCCCATGTTTGTGTTGTTCTTCTAGATCATTATTTTAGTAGGTGGTAGGACTCCTTTTCTATCTGAAAGTCCGTGCGTCAAGCAGCAGTGCATGCACTCCTTTGTTTCGGTCTGAAGCATATAGAGAGCCAGTATAATTAATTGCAGGTGCAGCATGGCTTTACGTGGTAGAGCCATGCTGCAGCTATATTAGTAGTATAGTTGTAGCACGAATGGGTCGGCTCGACCAGGGAAGGACCACTCTCTCACAGAATACCAGCTTAAAATAGCAGCTTAAAGCTGCTGTGTTTCGTATGGTGAGTGTAGAGAACCGGAGACCCTTTTTACTGAAGAAGAGGCATTCCATCTTAATCCTCACGGGTGACAATGCATCTGCATTTTGAGTTTTTATTGAGGATAGATGTAGATGTCTATGGGTCACAGTAACCACTTACCATCAGGTGGACTGTGTGCTCGTTTGTCACCCTATCCTATATAAAAAAAGGTTGTAATTGTAACGCATTTCATCTTAGTCATTTAAAGCGACAAAGTATCCTAACGTAACCTGCTTTGTTTGTGTGACTTACCGTCAGGTGGGATGTGATTCCGTTTGTTACTTCAGATTTTGATAGTTCATTACTTAACATAATATTATGTTTTTAACGTGGTAGAGGCACGCTGCAGCTATTCATATATGTATACATACTGCAGCACAAGTAGGTCGGCTCAACTGGGTTAGGACCGCGCTCTTACACAATACCAGCACACAAATCAAATAGTTTTTTCATGTGTGAGTGTTTTTCCATGTTTCATCATCATCATTTTCATTACAGCCTACGTAGAGACTACTTCTGAACATAGTCCTTTCCCATTAATTGCCTCACAGGGAAGATATTATACAATAGTTGCTACGCTTTGCAGATGGGTTGGCTTCCACAGTTTTTAATTTTTGAGTTGTTATCAGATATATACTACCGCCTATCTCCTAGTTTTTTCCCTCTGTCGCCTCTTACGACGCCCATGAGACGACATGGGGTACTGGAAATTCTTACTAGGCCAAAACACAGTAAGCTTTTATGCCTGTAAAACTACAAATAATTTAATTGTCGATATTGAAATAATATGTCAGTAGCACATGAATCGCCATGTATTAGCGGGCGGGGTGTAGTAAAAGTTTGTAGATATAAAGGAAACAGGGGATTGGCAGAAGCATCCTCCTGATAACAACTTAAATTAATTAATAAACTGCTGTTGTCAACACGCCTGCCAAGCGTCCCAAGCATAGAATCTAAGAGCTACACCTATTTTCAGCAGTAGATTTTTGATATGTGTAATATCATAAATCTTGTTAGACATTGTCCATCATTAACATTACTTCGGCATATTACATGACCACTGATGAATATATGTTTTCACTTAAGACAGCATCAAAACACGACCCTGAATCATAATATAATAAACTACAAACCTTATTGTAGGTATCCCGTGAAAGTATAACAGCTGATAATGGATTATTATATTCTCTATCAGCTTTCATATGTCCGTTTCTGCAATATTCATTCAAAAGCAAGAAACACTCTTGACAGATTACAGCTGTTGGTAGAAACTAAAAATTGTAAACATACATCAGAACATAGTTCATAAAATCTAAGTCCAAGTAATGTTAACCAATTACATTATTTATATAATTATTTTTCAAGATATGATATGTCTCTGAAGAAAGGTATAAATATTTACAGATTAGTAACTAATAAGCAAATGCGATAATGGCAGGACCATATCAACTATATAAAAAACTATTAAAAGAAACATATCTGTTGTAAATATCTCCATGTTAGGTGGCAATGAGGCCACAAAATGCCTCTGCAGCCTATCGGCGCAAAGATGACAATTAGTTCACCTCAACATCGTGGAAAGTAAGCAATTCTCAGAATGTTTAGAATTTTGAATTGGTTTTAGAATTGGTGACAAGCAATAAGTCAATAAGTAGGCGTGATAGAGTCCCTGTAATAAAAGCTTAAGTCGTCAGCAGAAGCAGGAAAAAGTACAACGCTAAGTAAAGCAAGATTCAGCACAATCAAAAATGTAATATGATCAATATATTTCACAACCAAAAATCAGTAAACGTGTGAAAATATTCGACGTCAACGTATGTCCAGTACTTAATAATAATAATAAAATAAATTAATGGAATGGAACTAAAATGACGTCTACTCAGCACAAATGTTATAGAAACCATATAGTGGTAACTATAACGCTGATTTTCAGTAAACGCCAGAGACATAGGTGCAATAAAATAAACTTAGCTAATGACAGGCTCCAACATAAAATAAAAATACACTCTTGTAAAATGCATGAATAATAATAAAAACTGAACATTTAGGAAAAAAGGCCTAAATAAAGCCAATGCAACAAAAAGCGTAGCACTAGGCATGTGCCAGGCATGAGACACACAATTAAATTATTTAATAAAATACAAAAGCAAAATAAATGTAGAATTAAGGTGGAAACGCCAGGGTAGCCCGCGAAATTCAAATTTTCTTGTGTTTTTTGGAATTTGCAGGCCAGGGTCAGGTTGAATGTTTAATAAAATATGATTCGCGACCGTAACGAGTATGTGTTTATAGAATTATTATCATTAAAATCACCAACACATTCATATAATTCCTTTGAATGAGTTTTTCTGGAAATAGCCATACATTGGTTATTATACGAACATAGACGATTGTATTGACGATTGTAATGATTATAATTCTGTAAATACATACTCGTTACGCCCGCGAATCATTTTTTGTTAAACATACAACCTGACACTGACCTGCAAATTGTAAAAAACGTAAGAAAATTTGAATTTGGCGGGATACCCTGGCGCTTCCACATTAAGCAAGTATTTCTTAGTTTTATAATATACAGACACAGTATACTTCATAAGAAAGGTGTGATACATCGACACAGAATTATACTAACTTTGTAAATTTAAAAGATATTCTTTTAGTTTTACTTTAAAAGTGCGAACTGTTTTGCTGTTTTTGTTTGTAGGTGGTATATTATTCCAACACTTTGTGGCCGCATACCGAAAACTATCACGAAATTTTCTGTGTCTTGGGTACAACAAGCGAACAGTTTACCGTGGGAAACGTTGCTAGAATGTGAGCTTCTCATATAAGTATTTCGGTTGTTGATTTTGTAATATTATATAAAGTAAACAACTGTAGTGAAATGATCTACGAGATTTCATATTAATAAGTTTGCCCTGATTATAATTGCGATATTGACACAATGACGTGTGTGTATCATTTTACAAAATGCACGAAAATCAATGATTATTATTCAGTAATGATCTAATGCAATTTATAATTATTTTTGATGATGAATTCATAGTTTATTTAAAAAGATAATAAATATTGAAACATACTACATATTTTATAATTTTTAATAGAAATAGGTACTTTTTCGTACTTTTTTACTTTTACTTATTCGTACAAAGAAACGCAAGTTTCATTAGGAAAGACTGTAAATGATAATATTTTTATATTTTTTTTATTTTCTTTTAAATAATATTTTACCGCAATTTGTACAAAATTATGATTTATCACAAAATAGTTCAAAATTCCCTTTTTAGTACAAGGTGGGGCACAATCTATTATTCTCCTTTTTCTATTAATATTAAATAAAATAAAAAAATAGTTCTTCAACTTTTTTATGTCCTATTTATGTAATACATAAATTAGACAAACTTATCAAGAATAAAATCGGCTCAGTGCATGTCGGGCCACACGTAATGTAGGGTTCCGTAGTTGCTCGTTATAATACTTTACATGTCTATGGGCCATAGCATCCGTTTACCATCAGGTGGACTGTGTGCTCGTTTGTTACCCTTTTTCTATATAAAAAATCACGCAATTTTTATTAATTAAACATGGTCGATTTTCAAATTGTGTATATTTAACTTCTTAGTTGTTATTAGGAAGACGCTGCTAGACAGGTGGTAGCGTCGTTCTGATTTGTTCCCTCTGTCGGCTCTTACGACGTCCATAACACGGTTGTATACTGGTTTGTTTCACACTGTTGACTCTTGCGACACGCACAAGACGGTTGTGCAATAAAGTGGTGTTTGCAGCGGCAAGGCGGCGGGCAAGCGGTGCGAGCGGCCGGAGCGGCTGTTGGCGCGGCTGCGCACCGCTTCGCTAGAGGAGGCTGGTGCGCCGCGCGTCGTTCTGGCGCGAGCGCCGCGCGGGCCCGACGGCAGCCGCGGCTTCCGCCCCAGGCGCCCTATCGCCGGTAACCACAACCACACACACACAATACACAACACACGCAACACAACACACTACACACACGCAACACACTACACACACAACACACACAACACACTACACACATACACACACAAATATACTAGCCGTGCGGATAGACTGGGATTAAAATGGCGGCTTGTTAAACTTGTACTATCAGCATACACGGTACCAAAAACGATAACGCTAATACACAAAACACTTTATTGATTTTTTTTTTTTGGAAATTAACTGATTGGTATAATAAATCAATTAAACTTTGAAATAAAAATAAACTATTAACGTATATTATTATAATATGGAAGTGAGAGGCAAATCAATTTAAAAAAAAAGAAATCATGTAATACTATAATAATAAAACAATTTAATAATGAAAATAAAAGTATATTGAACAGTTCCCACGATTCGTGAACATAATATAAAATATACATATGTCATTCATTCATTTCTAGTGACCCGATCATTCAAGTATTGATCCCGATCATTTAAGTATTGATATATCTTACGAACCGGGTCATTCATGTCGATGAATCCAATGAATCATTTCAAGTTTCAGTACTATGTGATTTGTGAGACCCGCTCGATAATGTCGGTTGTCGGATATTACTATAATCTTTGGTCGTAGGTCTTGTCAAGCGTTTGATCCGAAACGTTTAAAAATGTAATAGCAATCATCAATACTTTGATGAGAGACAGGTCAAATAAACAAATTATTCACGATTGACTTGTTTATTACAAAAGTTTAAACTAAGTACATGATAGGTTTAAGTTAAGACGTGAAAAATCTCCGAATGAAGAATAGTAACGAACGATTGAAGCAGTTTTTTCGGTCGTTATCGTCCGTTGAATTGTCATGTCGGTTGAATAAATTTAATTGACTCCGCAATCCACTAATACCATAACTCGCTCTCGACTCTGCAGCCCTCCTTTTATGTCAAATGGTTCATACAAAACACCCTGAAACAACGCTGGAGGATTTTTGGCAATGTGCTGTGCCCCGCCCTAATGAGATTTATTTATAATAAATTTAGCAATAACTCTTAATAACTGCATAACTGAACAAAAGAAAACCGTTATGAACATACATTAGGGTTGATAAATAAGTATTAGGAGAGTAACTTAACCCTTAACTGTCGTGCCCTGCTTCATTCTCTTTTTAAGTAAATTATAAACCATTTTTACCATCTTAGTTTTGAATTACCTGGCTTCAAAGTATCCGCTGAAGTGTTTTCCCCACTTTAACTTTTGAAATTAAGGAACTAAAAATTAGTAAAATATCTCCTTACGTGTAAACTGTGAGGACAATTATACACTGTAATTTCTGGATTTCGACAACAGCACCACCTGTTGGATCCAACTATACCTAAGAACTATCTAGTTGTCTTAAGTACTCCATAAAAATATCAACGAAAACTCTCAAGCCGTTTAGGACAAGAGGAATTAAGAACACACGCATACTAGAATTTTATACAGGGTTATTTTGCAATAACCGGAAAAATTTGAAGAGAAGGTTCAGAATAAGTAATATAGACAAATGGTGAAGAAAAATTAACGAAGAGAAAAAACGTTCTGTAATTTTTATCTTATAAATTCTAAATGCGTGTTAATACATTATTTTAACTGATTGTCATTCATAAATATCTAAAGCTTACCATTGTATGCACGCACACGTTCGTAAGGGTCGCTCGGTAAGCGTCCTTCCTTGAATGAATGAAAGTTTACGTAGTGCGCAAAGATTATACGGAAGTGAGTCTTTACCACGCCAAGAAATTAACGTACATGTACAATTGACAACTAATCAATCTATTCAATTGCAGTGAACGATAACTTCAATAGTGAATATGAACATAGGTGGCTTTTGCACGGAGGCCCTATATTGTGGTATGCAAACTCGCCGGAACTTTTACGGTTTATCTATGTGTAAAGAGAACTTTTCGGAACTTTTAGCGTTTATCTATGTATAAAGAGTCGTGTTTGATTTGATTTTGATTGAGATGCCTAAAGATATGAAGACCGCCACAGTAAATTTAACTGCGTTCACGGACGTTAAAAGTGCTCAAGAACAAGTAATAATTTTGTGCAAAATATTTTAAGAAAATGTGCTCGTCTATGCATAAAAAATGTGTCGGCACACCCCTAACTGTACGACCGTTCGGCAATCCTCGGAAGCCATCTGCTGCTCGGGAGCAGCCGGCTCGGTTTTCCTCGCCTAGCCAGTTGATTCCACCGTCCGACGTCGTGAGGCCACTCGTTCGGGCTCCCTCTTTTTTGAAGTTAACGTAGTGAATAAACGGTATTTAATATGTTGATTCCATTTTGAGGTATAAATATTAGATATTGACACTACTTGCGTAATTTATTAATTGTAAATAGGTTATTCCAATATTTTAAATATGCCATAATAAATACAGTCGTTGGTTACGTCGTTGCAAAAATATATTTTTAATTTTATTTATTATGACTACCCTAAGCCCGTAAAAAGAGTAAAAGGAAGATTGGAAACATAATTCGCGTCATGTAGTTATTAACTTAAGCATTAGTAGTAAGCGTGTCACTAAGAAAGTAACACAAACAGGAGTGTGCGCAGTTGTTACCCATAAATGATATTTCAATTTGGGATAATTTCAAATAAAAGTACAAGCCTTATTTACTCGTATTTTCAAAAAATGTAATATTGGTTTATAATGGTTTATTTATTTGAACTTAAATATAAAATTTTGGCTACTCTTTGAAAAATAACCCTGTATATAATAATTAGAGATAATCTGCCCGTATGCCTTGCCTTGTGCATGTCCTAATACACTCTTGGCCAATAATTTGAAGTCTACTTTAGTTACCAACTTGTGTAATTCAATTGTAAATGTTGTTGTATTTATATTGCAGAACAACTCGCCGAGTGAGACAACAGGACAAACAGCACACTAAGGCCTGAACACAACAGCTATTTACACAGCTATGTAGGGAAACATCCTAGGTTTGATTTTCGAATTTAAATTTTTCATTGTATTCATGAGAGACTGACTGATTCTCTTTTCTTTAGCAGCATTTAAAAAATTGTTTTTGTTATTTTTACTACTATTAGAAAAACAATTTCACGTAATGCCTTCTTTAAGTGTTTCAAGTTGAAAGTAATTTGAATGGATGCCTTCAGCCAAATGCAATTCACGTCGATCAATAAGTACAACACCGTATATAGCTTATAATCGATGAGCAAGAAACATATCAAAGTTATCAGTGTTTTAGTGCTTATTTAGATTTTCCTTTATATGAGAGGTTCTTTTTCGCATAAATACGTTGTTCAAAATTCCGTTTGTACCATTCCTAAGCATATTCTTTCTTCTTGGTATTCAGATATACTAAGTTCAGTTCTAGTGTGTACGGATGACACATAACAAATGAAGTATCACTTATGTATCTCACAATATTCGTTTAGCTCCAGCTATTGGGCTACAATAAAACTGAAAAATCCTATAAACTCTCTATGTAAATATCATATTAGTAAAGTAAGTGTAACAAGAAGTGTCTATGTGTAACGTTTTAAATGTAATTCGATTCGTCGGCATTCAATATGTGTCTATTAACAGTATTAACCCATTATAAAATTAGTGTAAATTATATAAACAAGCTTGTCAGTAAATTATAAATTAATATAATCACAAACGATAGTAAAATCGTCGAGTTTCATTCATTGTTAGCTTTGTAGCGAACGAAATAATTAATAAATGGCCAAAATGAAACAAAAAATAAATTGTTACGTTTAATAGATCTCTTAATGCAAATTTTTCTGTGATTTTTGGAAATTTCATGTGCAATAAATTATTATCGAAAAATAATATAAAATATTGTCCGCACAGGGTGGCCGGCCCTAGTCTCATAGTATACAAATGCTGGCTTATAATTTTTATGCTTCATCTGATATGTGTCTCCAGATATAATTCTTCTATACCCAACGGCTTACCTCATACTTAACGTGTCGAACAAACAAATTTTTGTAGTTATTATTAATACATTTTTATGAATTGGATTAAAGCATTTATAGGAAGTATGCTATGTACTGGATTGGAACCAAAGACTGAAAAATATTTATTGCAATAAATAATATTGGTATTAGATTATGTTAATTAACTATATTATGTTGTATACATTTATGGTAACCCTGAGGCCATAGATTTTAACCGTGTTTGTTTAAAAACAACGATGTATCAACGTATTTTATATATTAAACCAGATCATTTTTATTTAAGTTTTGATAAGTAGAAGGTAATTGAATGTTCGTTGTTTTCAAAATTGTAAAAAGATAAATATAGGCACGGCCGCAATGTGATTGTTTTAATGATAAACAAGAATATTTATAAAAACTCTTTCCTTACTTTTACTGTCCATCGATTTCATGTTAGTTAAAGCAAATCTTCGAGCTCGTTTAGCAACAAAGAGTCCCAGAGGTTAATTTCATATATATGTTATATACATATACATATAAATATGGTTTCTGGTATTAAGCGTTAAGAACTTGCGACGACGTGCTCTTGTGAAGTTACTGTCTTCGAATCTTATATGTTACTTAAAAAAAAAAATTAAAACATGTAACAACAACCGAATTTAAGGAGTAAGCTCTTATATTTAATTCAATGACGATATCTCTTTTCTTGTCATTTAACTATGCACATATAACCCAGTGATTTCTAAAAAGTAATAAATTCGTCGTAAATCTAAATTTGTGTCGATAAGTCGACTGCTCCTAGATTCAGTTGTATATTAATCCTTGTGACCTTAAGTAACTGCGAACTACTTGGAAAATTAAGAAAATATTATGATTATTTCCAAAGAAGTGAAAAAAAAAGGAATTTTGAACAAACGTTAATGTGCTTGCATGCTTTAAAACCGCATATTATTATTTGCTAAACTATGTATATGTCCATTGTAACCATTAATAGTAATAGTGACAAACGGTATAATAATCAGGTTATATTGATGTTGTAGTGTATGAAATTTAAGCCCCGGATCGTTACGGGTGTAGGTATTATTATATACTAGTCTTAAACATTTACGCCCGACTGCATTCATAATGGCAGACATATTCTTGAGCTAATTTATCTCTTGGATGCATTATTGGGCGTTAATATTCTGCCGACTAGACGCTGTAATTCGTGTATCTATTTGTCAACATAATTTTTTGTTTAATCTGAGACAGATTTCAAGTGTCGTTTCTGGAAAATGTTTATCGCTTTTAGTTATCCATACTGTTTCTGGTGGCTGGTTTGAACAGTTTGTTATTTGCCACTTTCTTTTAAAATTCGATTGTGAAAATAGTAACTATATCGAATAATGGTAACTTATATGACCGCTGGTCCGCCATTTTATTGTAGGTTACGTGATGTAGAATTTAGAATGAAACTTGACACGGTACACGATACGTATATTTTGATCGCCTTTAAATTATTCAATAAACAATTTATTTATGTTGCCCAGTGCAAAATATATTAATTGCTATTACATTATGGTCATTATTAAAATATAACGCATTGGTGCAATGTAATACATATACAGCGAGTACAAAAAGGGCAGCCATTTTGAACTATGCCGAATCGTGTAGTGTCAAGTGTCAATCAAACATGTACAAGCGAAACCATTATGATACACTATTATAAAAAACTCCTCTGAAATTTGGCGAATCAGTAACATTGTTAAAGGAATTCAGTGCCTAAAAGAACCTCTGGATCAGCATAAAAACCAATAAAATGTTAAAAAATGATTTTTAAACTTTCAGAATTACAAACTTTGGAATAATCATAAGAGTTTATTTTTATTTAGATCTTCAAATGTATTCTTAAGACAAGTTATCTATGCCAAATGTTTATATACACCCTGTACATTTTTAAAATTCTGATTAAAACCAATGTACACCACCACAGACTTCTACTAAGTGCCCTTTCTGAATAGAGTTATGCGAGAATCGACTGGACCTCTTGATACAACGCTGTGTCATAATGCTTGCATAAGTATCTATGATTTTTACATTCTATTTAAATGGAGGTATAATATTAACAGCTTACGTAATAAAAAAGATAACTATTAAAAAGTTATACCAAACCTGCCAGATATAAATACTATAAAAATGCTGGTAATTGAAGTCCGATCAGCAAAATAAAAATTGTATGTGTTACAGTCAAAACTCATAACCGGTGAAAACCATTTTAACTGCGAATAATAGGACTAATATTCTTGGTCAAAACCACTTTTAACCGATGTAATTTGGCCAAAATCACTATAACCCAATGTTTTTGCAGTTAAAAATGGTTTTGACCTACACCCTTAGTTTTTGACTAAGGATCTACTTTTGTCTGCAAAAATCAGTTAAAAGTGGCATTGACCAACAGCCTTAGTCAAAACCATTTTTAGTCGATTATTCGCAGTCAAAAATGGTTTTGACATATAATTGTGGAATTAAGGAATGAGGAAATTTCATTTACTGTTCAAACATAGAGTAACACTTAGCGTTGACCCTTAATTTAGGTTAAGTTTCGAAATTCGTCGTGTATTTATCTGATTATACTTAATAAATTGTGTGATTTGATTAAAAGAAATAAGGATGATAAAAACGTACACACAATACTGTGCGATTCAAATAAGAATAGGATTGACCTGGCGCCATATTGTGACGCCGTAGCTGTCAATTCAAACTATTTAGGTAGGGTGAGCAAAACAGATATTTAGTAATAATATTTATTTACAGAAGAACCATAAACGAAAAAGTATTAACCTGAATCTAGCATTTCAATTTCGCTCATCTCTGCATTACTGTATGAGTAGTCACTGCTGCTTTCCCTTATAAAAATACATTTATGTATATATTTAAAATTTTCTACCGACTAGTATCATTATTTTTAGTTAATTTTTAAATATTATAATGACTTCAATAGATTTGGTAATAAAGCGAAAAAAAAAAACGCGCAGCGCATATTAATTTTCTTTGCAGTGACAGTTGACAGATCGCGGTCATTCGAGATCATTGACGTTACTATTCTTATTTGAATCGCATTGTATACCCGATGATAAGTGGATGCTATGGTTTATGGAATCAATTATTTATTAAGAATCAAAATACAGGTGCGTTGTGACCATCTTTAAAATACAGATCCTGCCTCACTTTGGTTAAAAACCTGCCAAATCCTGTCAAAGTCTGTAGTGAAAAATGCCTAAATACTGCCAACTTTATTTACCATTGTATTAAACTATAAAAAGTAAACATACACATATACATGCAATATTTTTTAATTTAAAATTAAACATATCGTTCGTTGGTTTGAATGCAATGCAATCGCCATGCTCACCAATGCTTTGTTTAACGTACAAGATAGACAGTAAATGTTTATTTATAAATCTTTTGTACGTGGTAGAGCCATGCTGCAGTTATATTAGTAGTACGAGGGCGGCACTGAAAATTTCGGGATCAGGAAGTGACACAACATTACTATTTAAAAATGTATTTATTGCTTTTCGAAGTATTCTCCGCGAAATTTAACACATTTTTCCATACGATGGAACCAATCATTGAAGCAACCATTCCATTCGGAAGTTGGGGTCTCCAAAATGGCCGTTTTATAGGCGTCCACAGCTTCTTCAGGTGATGAAAATCTCTGTCCACGCAATTTATTCTTTATTTTAGGGAAAGTATAGAAATCATTAGGGCTTAGGTCGGGGCTGTACGGCGGATGGTCTAATAATTCTATGTTTTCTTGCTCTAAAAACTCTTTTGTTCTGTGTGCGGTGTGAGAACTCGCATTGTCGTGATGGAGGATGATGCGGCGATTGCAGTTCTCTTTACGTAGTTCAGAAACGACCTGTGGCAAACAAATGCTAGCATACCATTCTGCATTAACCGTTCTTTGTCCCTCAAGAG